CCTGTGGAGGATCATGGAGCTCAGAGAGAAGGTCTCGGGGAAAACGTTCCCAGGCAGGAGCCCCATCAGCTGGGCGGCCGGCTTCAGGGAGGGGCAGCCGGGCCCCACGGCCAGCAGGGAAGGCTGGGGGGGGTCCACCGCTGCCTGGGTGTCCCTGGGTATGAAGGGGGGCGAGTACAGCGACAGGTTATCCCCCCCGGGATCCAGAGCCATGGTCTGCTCCGTGATCTGGGCCTCCTGGAGGCTCTGCTGCAGGATGTCACACTGCACCCCCCCCTTCTTCCCCTCATATCCAGTCTGCACAGGTGTCGTCCCCCGCAGCTCCTCCTCGGGGTCCTCCTCACCCTCCGGAGAGGACAGGAGCGCCTCCTCCAGGAAGGACAGATCCACACAGCCGGGGGGGGGCGAGTCCGGGGGGTCGCTGCCGTCTCCAAGCAGAGAGCCGGGGCTCTACAGGATGAGGAGGAGGATAATATTTTATAAGTAAATATAAATCAAATGTGCAATAAAAAACATTTTTTCACGATTTGATACAAATATTTTTGTAATCATAAGAAAAAATTGCAATACGAACAAAAAATACATTATAATAAAGTATAAATTATTAACAAGAGCAGTTACGTAATAATGTTCGCTTTGTACTATAATATCTAACAATAAATATGTATCTTTATATAACTATTGATTTGGTAGTGAATGAGTATTAATAAAGATATCGATTATTGCTAAAAAGCTACAGTATCAGTAATAATAATAATTAGACAGGTTTTCTATGTATCGCAAATTTGGATCTGTTTTCGGCATTATATTTCTGAAATAACATTTGTCAGTTTCCTGGCACAGAATCAGAAATAAAGTCCTCTCCCGGGACGGAAGCAGGTTGTGGTGACGCTGCTGTCTGGATCTAACTCACCGGGGCGTCTGTGAAGAGTGAACCCCCCCCAGAGGAGGAGTTAATGAGCAGGTCTTCAGTCTGCAGCTGGGGGAGGAAATCAAACGTTTATTTGTTTTGTTTGAGAAATGATCGCAGTATTACATTACAACCTCTCTTTCACATCTTCCCAGCGCCAGCCCTCCTTTCACACGGCGGCGGGCCAAGAAATATCCCATCTCCAATTCTTCATTTGCACTTATTGATTTCTTTATTTGAGTCGCTCTCTATTTAACTCTCCTCTGTTACCTCATTGGTCCCATAAAGGAAGTCGTTCAGGGCTTGGGGGTCACTGCGAACACAGAGAGAAGTCAGAGTAAAGATCTGTTTCTGTAAGAACTATAGGTTAAGAGGACATTAGACCACATTCAATCCTATATAACTAAATAATAATAAATACTTATGAATGACGTTCAGACAGACTTACCACAAAACATCAAGTAGACAAGTCCCATCTTCATCCTCCATGTCAACTGAGAATTCAATCATATTTTAATCATTTGAAAAAAGGATAATTCAGCATTAAACACATATTTACTGTTAATATGGCTGCAAATAACATTTAATATTTTTTGGG